TCCTTAGCAGCTTCTGTCAAAGCCATATACTCTGCCTCTGTTGTAGACAAAGTAACTGTAGGTTGTAGAGTTGCCTTCCAGCTTATCACAAAACCTCCAAGAGTGAACACATAACCAGTCATAGATCTCCTACTGTCCACATCTCCTGCATAATCAGACGCTGAATAACTAGCAACTAAGCACTGAGTGTCATTCCTATAACAGAGACCAATATCAGAGGTACCTCTAAGATACCTGAAAATTCTCTTCAGAGCTTGCCAATGTTCTTTTTGAGGCTTGATCATGTATTGACTTACCACACTACCAGCGAATGCTAGATCTGTTCGAGTGTAGACCGTAGCATACATCAGACTTCCAACTGCACTAGCATATGAGACTCGAGACATGTACTCCTTCTCCTCTTCAGTCTGAACTGAGTACATTTCCAACTTGTAGTTAGACGCGATTGGAGTATCTATAGGCTTGGCTAAAGACATTCCAAATCTGCTTAACATCTTCTTGATGTACCCTTCCGGTGAGAGGAAGAGTTTTCTCTTCTTCCTTTCCCTATAGATTTCAACTCCCAGAATCTTACGAGCAGCACCCAAATCTTTCATCTCAAATTCTGCACTGAGTGAAGCCTTCAACTTCTGGATGTCTGACTTACTCTTAGCAACAATAAACATATCATCAACATACAAAATCAGATAAATGCGTGAACCACCTTGTGCCTCATTTAGTACACACAACAATCATACGGACTTCTGTTGTAGCCAAGCTGCTTCATGTAACTGTCAAACCGCTTATACCACTGCCTTGGGGACTGCTTTAGTCCATATAAGGACTTCTTCAACTTGCAGACATGATTCTCTTTTCTTAGAACCTAGAATCCATCTGGCTGCGTCATATTTATTTCCTCCTCCAACTCTCCATGTAAGAAAGTTGTTTCACCTCTAGTTGCTCAAGTTTCAGATCCTGATGTGCACCTATTGCTAGCAGCACCCTGATTGACGTATGTCTAATCACTGGTGAGAAGATCTTGTTGTAGTCTACTCCCTCTCTCTTACTGAAACCTCTTGCAACCACTCGTGCTTTAAACTTTATACCCTCTGCAGCAGAAATTCCTTCGTTCTTCTTGAAAACCCACTTGCAAATAACTACCTTTATATGAGCAGGAAGTCTGACCAGCTTCCAAATCTGATTCTTATGAAGAGACTCCATCTCTCTCCCATTGCAGCAAGCCACTGTGCTCATTAACTCTTAGATATTGCAGCTTTGTAGCTGTACGGCTCATTATCATCCACCTCCTTGGCCACATGCAATGCATATCCTACCAGATCATCGAACCTATACCTTGCTAGAGGTCTGACTCCGACACTCGCTTGGTCGGTCTAGAGCAACAATTTGATGCACAACTTCATTAGAACCTGTTTCTAGTAGTACAATCTCCACTAATCTGTATCCTACTCATCTGTAAGTGGTTGTGGTAGTTGGTTTTTGACCAACATAGGTGCTTGATTTTCCTATGGAACAAATTACACCTCCATCTCCTCAGCAACAACCTCTTTCTCTGCTATATCATTGGTCTTCTCTTTGGCTTTCAGCATGGAGCTCTCATAAAAGACTATGCTCCTACTCAGTCTAATCTTATTGTCAGACCAAATTCTGTACCCTTTCACACCAGCACTATAACTCATGAAAACTCTCTTCTTAGCTTTCGGCTCTAACTTACCCTCATTTACCTGATAGTAAGTTGTGCAGCCAAAAACTCTCAGATTTGAGTAATCAGCAGATCTTTCAGTGCACACCTAGTGAGGTGTTTTGCAGTCAATGCTTGTGCGTGGGCTCTGATTGACCAGATAGCAGGCTATTGTAACAACTTCAGCCCACAACCTTCTAGCAAGACCAGCATTGAAAAGCATGCATCTAGCTTTCTCCAATAGTGTCTGATTCATTCGTTCTTCTACACCATTCTGCTGTGGTGTATACCTGACTGTGTGATGCCAAGCAATTCCCTCATTCTTGCAGAACTCATTGAACTTAGATGAACAAAACTCCAGACCATTATCTCTTCGCAGCCTTTTGACCTTCTTTCGTGTCTGATTTTCAACTAGAGTCTTCCATTCATTGAATCTACTGAAAGCCTCTCCTTTATGCCTCATCATAAATACTCACGTCATCCGAGAGTAGTCATCAATGATAGACAGAAAGTACCTGTAGCCGCTAAGAGACTCAACACGAGAGGGATCCCAACCATCTGAATGTTAGTAATCCAGCGTGTCCTTTGTTCGGTGAACTGCCTTAGGAAACTTGCTGCGGTGTAGTTTCCCAAACACACAATGCTCACATAATTCTAGACTCTTGGTCTTGTGAGCTCCCAGAAGATTTTTTTTCGACAAAATTTGCATTCCACGCTCACTCATATGAGCAAGCCTCATATGCCATAGTCTGGTCAGATCAACATCCTTAAACACTGATGCAACAGCTGCAGAACCTGTTACTATAAAGCCCTGTAAGACATACTAAGTTCCTTGCTTGACTCCTCTCAAAATCACATATGAACCTTTGCACACATTCAAACCTCCATCTTCGTCTTTGAAACTGTAACCTTTACTGTCAAGCAGACTAAAAGACAACAGATCCTTCTTTAAAAGTGGAACATGCGTGACGTCCTTGATTGTGCAAAATTTTCCGTCATGTGTTCTGAACCTAATTGAGCCAATCTTAATCACCTGGCAGACAGAGCCGTTTGCCATAAAGACACTACCTCCATCTACGCAGCTATATGTTGTGAACAACTCCCTTGTTGTAATGATATGATACGATGCTTCTGAGTCAAGAATCCACACATCAGATCGATGAGTGTGTTCATCAGCAACTAGCACAATATCATTTTCTGAATCAGCATTATCTTCTGCTGCTGCAGTAGAACCAGATTTCTGCTCTTGCTGGTGCTTTTTTCTCTTCGGGCATTCATTCTTCCAATGACCCTTCTCCTGACAGTATGCACAGATGTTTTTGGGTAATTTAGATTTTGATTTATGATGCTTTTTTTTCTTACACTTTTTACCATCCTTATTTCCATTGGCCTTTAACCTGGAAGCCTGATTGTCTACACCTGAACCTGAACCAACTGCGTTGTGACGCAGTTTCTTGTTGTGAAGCGAAGACCTAAACTCTTCCAAAGACACAGTTTCTTTCCCAACGATGAAAGACTGCACAAAATTCTCATACGACAAAGGCAGAGAATCCAACAGAATCAAGGCAGCGTCCTCATCCGACACCTTCTCATCAATATTACGCAAATCTAGCAAAATTGTATTTAATTTATCAATTTATTCCCTAAGGGGCGTATCTTTAGACATGCGTACGCTGAAAAGATGCTGCTTTAGCATCAGCTTGCTAGTCAGCGACTTCGTCATATATAGGCTCTCCAACTTCAACCACAAGGCGGCGGCGGTTTCCTGATCTGCAACTTCTGTGATGACATTGTTAGAGAGACACAACATAATCATCGAATGAGCCCTCACCTCCATAGTTTTGTATTCTGCAGAGTTTGCGTCCATTCCATTCTTATACTTTGTCAATGGTGCTCACAAACCATGTTGCTTTAGCAAAGCTTGCATCTTGATCCGCCACAGACTGAAACTGTTTCTCCTTTAAACTTGTCGATCTTCTTCATGGATCCAAACATGGTTCTCGGCGGAAATTCAAACCCGAGCTCTGATACTACTTGTTATAACGGAATCGAAAACGATAAAGACGAAGATCAACACACATCTAACGAAGACGAAGACGAAGAAGAAGAACAACACACATGGCTACATCCACGGGCAGAGGGTGATCAGATTTTGATTAGAGACAGAGTTACAGATTACAACGACGGCTAGGGTTTACATAGCTACTACCCTACCAGAATTGGGCCGCAAGACAACGGTCCAATATACAATAATAGACAAAACATTAAGGCCCGAACTACAAACATCGTGTATCATTTGGCCCCCGACTTGTTGACCTGGCAGCGAGACCCCAGTGCTACCTGTCGAAGTGTGTGATTCAGTCTTCGGATTTAAGTCATCACAACAGTTTTGATGGACAAAATGACCCTAGTACAACACCAACATTTAGTGATATGCCTTGTAGATTAGCCACTTGCCCACTGTGTATTGAAAATATATTGTATGTTCCATCATTGGATCCCTAGTGTCTATTGCACGAAGATTGATAATCTAATAGAATATACTCATGTGCAATTTGATATAATATATTTTAGCACTTCTCATCAATCCTCGTCTTCAATTTCATATCTTTATCTTCAGGGTTTTCCTATGCTCCACTTGTCATTCGTAACACTAAATCGCAGGGATGTGACTTGATATTCAGGATGAAACATGGAGGCTACTTGAACATTTTATCATTGTTGACCACCTTTGCTAATATTTATAATTGTATCATCTGTCTCAAGAATTGGAATTTGAGACTTTATTTACTTTTCTCATGAATTGGTATAAAAGTTTGTAACTTAATATGATGTATTTATAGTTTCATCATAATTAAGTTTATTCTTAGTCAATCATATCATTACTTCTAGTGAACCATGCATGTTTATGGGGTAGGAGGTTGCAGGAGTTTAACTCAGGTTTCAAGTTAATGGACCGGGTCAGTGTCAAGATTACTTGCTGATTTTGTATGAAAACATCCTGACGTTTGACGTTAGTCGTTTTACGCACAGTAAGTACTATGGCTAGTAATAAAATTTAGGCTAGAACCAAATACAAGAAAAAATAGTTGTACAAAATAATACAAAGTGTAAAAATAGACCGTACGAGGCGGGGAAAGCCAAAATCACCGGGAGATGCCGAGAGTTGGGGACTGGGAAGTAATTTGGCTGGTTGTCTGATGAGAAGAAAGTCCGGTGACAACCTGATGCCGTCCAATAACCTGATCCGAGATCTGGTTCTAAACGAGCTGGCGAATGGATGATGTGACTGACTGGCGAAGTGAAGCCTCCCATGCTCCACACTGCTCTCTCGAGTGCTGGGAGCATCCTCAAGGCGTGGCCTCGTGTGACGCACGAGAATGAACAGCAGCGGCCATGTGATGTCCCAACACTGAACCCGCAAATCTGTCCACCCTGGCCTTTGATATATTGGCTTCTCCGTCATGTATATACGTGCTCATGATCTGCGGCATGCAGTCAGTCGGTCGGTCAGTCGGCGAATCTCGTGACCGCAAAGACATGTCGGATGATCCGACAGCAGAGACTGGGACCAACTCGACTCGGTAAGACGGAAATGGAGCGGTATATAGTTCAACATTGCCCGTGCATTTGACATCTTCAATCCGACCGTATTGTAGCGCAACGCATCCTCTTTTATTGTTATACGGTGTCGATGTCCGTAAGACCAGTATCCATCGAGGTTCAGTCACGAGTCGCCGCTCACTTTACCAGGTTGCTGCTAAAGTCCTGGACACCGACGCCGACAAGAGCGACAAGGGCTGCCCCTCATGAATGCGTCATGAAGTTATCGGACTATCATCTCAGCTTCGCCATAAAACAACAGTACGCAGCACGGAACCAAGAGTACGAGCGCAATTCCGTGTCGTACATCTCGGTTTCACGACAATTACGAGGTTTGCTCTTATCCAGACGCGCAAAGTTTGCATTCAAGAGACTATCGATTGGCCACAGACGTCGAAAACTTGATCTGTAAGGAGGACAAGTGAACAGAAAACAGACATGGGAACACAATAATAAGTTTGTCACAACAAAATCGTTCCGGTGAGTATTAAGCACAAAGCCCATAGCCAACTTTCGTGTAATTTCTTTCGAGATATGTTGCTGGATAGTGTGCATAACTGAAAGGCATCTGAGTATTCCCTTCAATAAAAACGTGAACTATATTTTGCACTTTTCTCTTACCTCGATACTGACCAGAGTCGCAAGGGGTGCGATTGGGAATAAATACTCGAATCAAGCAACGGCAAAAGCCCACAAAAGAGCAGTAGAAAATCGAGCGCAATCGCAGTTTTAGTTCCTTCAGTACAGCAATTTATTCATCCAATGAGGAAAAGATATTTGGATCTATTTTGATCGGTACTCCATTCTGGTGCGCATCATGTGGTGGCCGTTTGTGAACCGAGCCACTGTTTTCCGTATGATCATTTAGTGCAGTCAAAAATAGCTACTCTTGAAAGCTCCCCCTGATCCGTCCCACAACCTGGTGAATCTCGTGATTCTGTGGGCAAGTGGAGGTCGATGGTGGAGAGTTCACGTAGTTGAAAGTCGATCTTCCGAAAGTCATGGATCGCCACATTCAGCCCGTTTCAAGTTTGGAGAAGAAGACAAACTGGCGAAGTGTTCATGCAAATTGCAGTACAAAAACTGGCCAGTTGGGCATATCGACCGAGAAACTAGTGGAGGCCATCCACCAACCGAGTCAGGTGACAGTTTCTAGCGAGCCGCTGAAGGTATTCTGTGTACAATATACGGTGAATCGTATACGAACCGGGACCAGTCCGGTCTGAGGTTTATTTGAGTGCTAATTTTAATTAACCAGGTCCCTTTGTTCTCTAAGAATCGCCAGTTAAAAAATGCACTGAGTAAGCATTCAACAGTAGAGCTACTGAGTCGAGTTTGACTGTCAGACTGTGATACAACAATCGTAGTCGCAATCGCAGTTGGATGTTACATGAACTGTGCAGCCTTATCGTGAGACCGTGGTTACATCCTGCAGTACAGGCGTCGTCGTCCCACGAGGATCTCGACTCGCTGGGAGCCTCTGCTATTGCTGCTGCTGGGGCCTCAGATTCAGGCTTCACCTGATCCTGCTTCGTGCTCCTATTTTGGAGTGATTCGGCCCAAGAATGCGAATGGTGGAGAGTGTTGTGATTCCTGGACGCAGGTCAGGTTAGGCCGCTTGATGTGATGTGATTTTTCCTGCCACCAGTTCATAAGTCAGTTCTGTGCAAGTTTCAGATTGGTCACTTATGTTCTATCTTGAATTGGATGGTTCCTTCATTAATACACGTGAACTGGGTTTAATGCATTGGTGAAGTCCATAGCGCGTACGGTCAGGTCAATGATGATGCTGGGCGATGTATAATCGAATAAATCTTCCCAAATTTGACTCTATGATTCCAGTCAATTTCAGTTTGTCCAAGCGTTACACGGGATAGTAACTCCTCTGCTCGACACATGCTTCTGAGCTATAATGGTGATTTCCGTTCGAATTTTACACAGAGCGTGCTCGTGTACAATTTCTAGCGCAGCAGCCGGGCCAGCCGAGATTGGGAATTGATTCCTGTTCCCGATGAACTGCCACGGCCGTGAGTACTATAGGACATAATGTGATGCTAAGTAATTTGAAGAAAGCCAGCATCTGTCGGGGAGACCAGTTGAAAGGGAAAGGAAAGAATGTCTATCGTTATCTCAGCTTTGCCTTGACAGTACAAGGGGCTGACGAAAATGCAATGCGAACGCTCATCCGAGAGACCAGGGTGATATATATATATATATATATATATATATCCAACACCCGAGGCACCCGCGATGCATCCATGCTGCGGGCACCAGCTCGGAGCAGACATGGACCTGGTGCATTTCGTCGTCAAAGCTGGCAGGCAATCAACGCGGAGGCCTAAGCTTCTTCTCCATCCAGCGTCCATATGGCTCATCTGGTTTGCACCACAAGACAGAATTGGATTCTGATTGAATTTGGGCTTTTTGCAAGGAAGGAATGTGAAGGAACCGCTATGACTTTTTACATTGGTATATTTAAGACTAGTTAGTTGGTTCATGCTTGGGTGGTTCAGGCTTCCACTGCTACATGGGTTATGCAGTCAAAGGAGGAAACGGGGACGCATGGAAAGAAAGAAGGATGGAATGAACGTACGAATTGAATCAGAGACCTCTGGAGGCAAAAAATGAAAGTAAACGCAGATCCGTAAAGAAAGTACTTTTCTAGATCATCACCGACATCTTTTAAGAGTATGAACGTCAAACCTGGAGCTAGCCGTATCATCCACAGCATCTGAGAAGTTAATTGTAAGGACACAGTAGTTTACAATCAGCAATGTAATCAGGTTTGACCTTTAACACTTCATAGGCTACAAGGAAGTAGGTGGTTAATTGAGATCAGCAACTTGTGCCCACATCCATGTCTTTCCTTGCGTTGCAGGTGCGCAGACTTTCCACGAGTGTTAGATCCCATGCTACTGGCGTGGGGTAACGCATGACCTTCGTACTAATCAAAGATGAAGTTTTATACCATTAAATGTGTTGTGTCTGTGATTATCACGACATGACACATTGCCAAGCTTGGGACAACCTTCAGCATCCTTGATATGTTCTCCCTTCTCTTTGAACTTTAAAGCAATACTGTGGGACGTTAAGAAGATCGTACAGACTTCAATGTAATTAAGAAACGCCGTGTTTGTGAATAAGAAGACACGGTCGAGATATGAATGGGTCTTCCGGCTACACTGTGCGTCTGAGTTCAGGAAACAGGAAGTTTACCATGAAAGCTCAACCTTACCTACTGTGAGTCTGGGACTCCTGGACATACTGGGAGAGTAAATTAGATTAAGGAAGAACAAGGAACCTGTTAACCGACTAAGTAGATTAGAGCGTTCATTGAAGATGTTCAAGTGCGAACGTTGTTTACCAATATGATCTAGTCGCATCGTTCTTTAAGTTCAACTCCTGATTCACGAGGTAAACGAAGAACAGCGGCTCGTTTCTTCTGTATCACTCTCAACTCCTCCAAAACGCAGGCAAATATATGTCAAATTTATCACTGTGAGTTCCGTTGAAGCTTTAACTTGGATCATGCAGCAAAATTTAGTGCAGGACCAACAATACTTGAAATAAGCCCCCGGTTGCAAGACTCGTGAAAATGTACCCGAAAATATCCCAGCAGCATTTTACCCCGTCAACACAAATAGCCCTGTAAATCTGACTCATTGTCACACCAGATATCTAATTTACGAAAGACGTTACCTAGTTTTAAATGAAGGCCGTATACCAGGTGAAAAGAAGTTGAGCAAGTTCCAACTACTCGGCAGAAGCTTCGAACTCAGCAAGAAAGAGATTGATTGGATACTTCAGACTGTACACAAAGAGCCCTTTGCGCAGTTCAAGAACTCAGTTACTCGTCAAGAACCAACTACACCTGAATCGAAATAGTGCTGGACCGTCTACATGCATGGGGCCCGTTATCAAATAGGACAGTTCACTCTCATGTCAGAAACTGTGGCACTTTATTTACGTGTATAAATGCGGATGATCTCTGGTTGCAGAGGTAACATTGAATCAATCACCTAGTACTGCTTTGTACATAAAACCTCCGCCAGGGAGCTTTTCACAATATCCGAGGACATGAACTATGTCCCGTAAAAATCACGTCATTACCAGGCTACATAAGTTTCAGGAACCACCGTGAGCCATGACCGTGAATGAATGTAGGCTGCAAGCACCACAAGATGACAACTCATTTCACTGGCATGGACTAAAAAGCTGAAATCAACTCAAACGACAGCAAGGTCAAATAAATATATCTGAGATCCACCTTAAGCCTCGAGCTAAACATATCTTTCATGAGCTACCGTGGATTATAAAATCATTCGATCACCAACGTACCGGGATTTCTGTTTTGAATTTGTGTGCATGCTCAGATAGGGCATGATCGCAGGCCTTTCAAGATGCTGCAGTGTATGAATAGAATCCTTGGACAGCGTATAATAACTCAACTGCTTTCCCTGGATAAGTCCAAAAGTATGTTAGAGATTTGATGGGGCAAGCTTTATTCGTTGTACAAAGCGAGAAAGTGAAAAGCGAAACAGAGATTCCTAGACAAACTTAACTCACCTGCTAAAGTACCAACTATCGGGACGGGAGACAAAATTCTCTCAACTCTCTCCAGGGGACGCCTGAAAAGAAATCAACAAAAATCAACAGTCAGTCAAAATGGAAGCATCAGCCGACTTGCTATTTCTGTCTCAACTGTTTGACACGAAGTAAGGGAGCAGTGTACCTGGTGTAGCGGTCAAAAAACGGATTCCGCATAACGTAAAGTGCCCAGAGTAGCTGCCTTCGTCTAAGCTGAAATGGACCCCAAAAAACAAAAACAAAAGCGACCCAAAAAAGATGAATCAGTCTCACGAACTTGGAGCACTCAAACTGTACACTATTGTGATCATCAATTGCATGCAAGGGGTTGAAAGCATAGAGCAATCCGTAATCATGACTTTCTAGATTTCCAAACAGTGATTTTAAAAAAAAAGTTGTTCGTTATTCTAGTTATCACAAGAGACACATCCCAAGCTCCTTGGTTGATCGCCTCTATTTTCTGATAGGTTTCCCAGAAGTCATTTTTTTTTCTCCATTTCAAATTGGGAACATCACAATACTAGTATAAAGCATAAGGAGATTCATCGATATCCCCACCCGTTCTCCCCAGCTTCAAACGTACTATTCCTTTGATCAAATATCTTTTTCAACATTGTAAATAGAGCAGATTATTACATATAGCTCGAAACCATAGCTATATAAGAAGGGGATAGAACATCACCTCACTAGATTCGTTTACAGGTAAAACTGTGTACGCACATTTCAAAAATGAATAAAGTCTACTTCTACCTGAGAAACACTTAGGACTAGAACTAAATTCACGTGAGAACAAACCTCTTGTCTTTCTCGTGTTGATAAAGAACCATCATTGACTTGCTGCATATCTGGTAAAATATCCGATGCCAAACGTCTATCGGCGGCAGAGGTTGCACTGGAGACCAGGTACATTCCAATTAGATCAATAGAGAGAGCTGACAACCACGGTCTCCAAGACTTCAGGCCATATCGCCAGACTAACAATACGTAAAGAAGTGGCCTCGATATAAGAAGAACCTCCCCAGCCAGAAACCCTCTACTCTTGTACGCCGGTTCTTGCTTCAGCCCAGTCGGAAAAGGTCTAGGAACATCTGTAGACATTAACAAGTAAGACAAGGTTTCAGGAAGTTTGCTGGCAACATCAGACCTGGAGGTGCTTGTAAAAATAATTTGTACGGCCAGCTATTTCCAGCAGTAATCGTCAAATCAGAAAATTCTCATCAACAAAGTTTTACACCGCCTTCTAAAGAAACGACGGACTTAGAAGGAATAGATAGTGGTGAAGGCGCGTACATGAGTGTTGCTCTATAATCCTAAAATCCTGAGGAGGACCGGGTCTCTGTCTAACCCATGAAGGTCTATTCTGGCCTGTGTTGTGAGCACCGAACTTATGCATCGCTTGCATAGCTCGACCCTCCAGATCTCGGGGATAAAAGGCAGGATCTAAGCTGGGCCTACTTGGACCTGGAGCTTGATGTCCCGGTCTCCCAGGCATATCCTGTCCTTGTGAAGCACGCCTGCTGCCCTCATCTGGACTGGAAGGACCCGACCTTTCAGTGGGATCTTCACAATTCTTTGTTTCTCCACCGTCGAGTAGTATTTTATATCCGCTATTTCGCAGAATAATCAGTCTTAGAAGTGCCCTGATTGACCAGCCCAGACGCACAGCAAGTTATGAGAAGACAATAGTCAGCACTCTCCCCGTCACAAGTCCATCTGCACCACATGTGCAATAAGCATTTCAGCAAAGAGCCATTTCTCTCTGAAACACTACTTTCTACACATGTCAAATTCAAAGGCAATTTCTACTGAAAAAGCTCTGTAACTGCACTAGTCCATTTGCTGATGCCAATGTGGGTGCGGTTTAAAAATCTAGAAATACAGATAACGCGCGGTGGAAAAACAAGTCACGACTAACTTACTTTATGGCCTCAATTGAAGCTACTGGTGCCCATTTCTGATCTTTTCCCAAATAGGTCTCAGCAGCCATTTCAGTCAGCACCTCAACCTCCTTCATAACAGAAACGCAAAGAGCCCATGGAAAACTTTCATCCTGTTCTGGTTGTAGTGCAGGTGTCGGAAGTCCGCTTCCCCTTGGACGTCGAGCAGGCGGAGCCGTTTCAACAATGTGCTGGTTCATAACAGTTACAAGACCCAGAAGAGTTGAAACTGCAGGAATGCAAGAGAGTCGAGATGTTACAGATGTTGTTCTAAACTTAAAGAAAGACCATATGATACTATGTTCCATAACAAGATCTCGACAAAAAAAAGTGGCTATTATTGCGCTCCCTCGCCCTACTCTTTGCTTAGAACTAGTGTTTATAACTCCCAGCAGCAAAGGTCTAACGTATGGTTTTTATCAACAAGGTAATGTCTAGATCCATGTCTAATATCCCGCAAACGGAGGTAGTTTGTTTCCAACGACAACTCAATTCTCTGTCCTCTTTACGGGTTTTTTCAAATGCAGACGCGAAATTAGCGAGAAAATTGGCAGTGATAAAGTCAAAAAACATTTTGACAGGAAAGTGTATGCTCCTCACTGGCATGATCATCTTGGATATCGTGGACCTTATTTAGGTCACGCAGAACAAATGATACATGATAAAAATTTGAATCTTACAGCACAGCTCAACTTTGGCTTATCCTGCACATTTGATGCCTCTGTGTAAGTTGGCTTATGCAGAGTGTCTAATAAGTTATTTACATACTTAGAATCGATAATTAAGACCAGTTCCAGCTCTAAGAAAATTAACAACCAGAGTGTTGTAATGATTCGTCTGGAGGTCGTTGAACGAAATAACCTCGTATGTCATAATGCGAGAGGACATTGATAAGAAAAGAAAAAAAAAAAAAAAAAAGGGAGAAATTGAACAAACAAACTAACTAACTAAAAAACTATGAACAACACGATGAAATTGTGTTGATTGTGCAGAATGGGGATTCACATTTAAATAGGCAGGTAGGAATTTAGAGAAAGAAAACGATACACAAGGTCTAAGGAAAAAATTTTACAAGAATGACGAAAACATTTGTTTCAATTAAATTTTGTTCAGATGAAAATATTTCGTCAAGGTTCGCTTCTTGTAAATCACATTCTTTATGGATGAAGTATGTCCTCTTCAAGAACGCTGAAAAGTAGTTTCTTCAGCTGATTTACTTGTACTTCGATATAGCATAATTGTAACTGCTTCAGAGTCAGACAGCGTACCAGCTTCAGAGGCGAGCTCATAATTTGCAAAACGCTCCGGCAAGAACCAAGTCGCAGTCTGAACCAGCACACATGTAGAATACCAAGTTCAAATAATTTGTCAGCACTAGCTGAGAGAAACGAACTCGAATCAGACAGCTCCAACTTAATTTGATTACATAAGCACACTCCTGGTGCATAGTGGAGATTTCCAAACTTCTTTTTGACCGACAGTTTCCATGCATGAGGTTTGATGAGCTGGGTTAGAGAGGACAAATGAAAACCTACATTCCATCAAGTAAAATAGACCGTACATATAATCCGGTTGAGAAAATTCTCCAGCTGCATGAATGTGCGTTAATTGTACTTGGACAGCAACAATTCACGCAGCATGATCGGCGAAATTGACAGGGAACAAAAGGCCACACCAACTTCTCTAAAGCACGAGTAAAGAAGACACACAAAGGCGATCAGGTCCTACGTGAGTGTGCAAACAAAACCATGAAAAACAATTTCAAGAAAACGAAAGAAATGGGAAATCTCACGTTGGCAAGACTTTCAAGGGAGGAGATCCATTGCCGGTTGTGCCGCACCCACTCCTTGTAAGCTTCCATCATTCTAAACCCTGCAGATCGAATTGATCGTCGACTGAGAACTCTGAGCTTCTAAAACCCTGGAAAACGCAATTTCCCAGTCCACCCTTCGCGGTGCCGCAGATCACACATCACTATTCCGTCTTCACCTGATCGACCACTCCCCAGGCACGGGCACGATGGAATTCCACCGCCTAAACCTCGTCAAACCTCGCCTGACACCACCGCAAAAGATCCTCTCCCTCCCTCACATCCTTCCTCGCCCCCATTCCCTTCCCTTTCCTTCCCTTCCCTTCGCTGCCCTTCGCTTTGCTGCTCCCTTTCGGTCGGACTCTCCTCGGAACGAGAGCCGGCCATCGACAAAAAGAAGCGTCCAGTCTTAGCCTCCCGTTTCTCCGCCGTGGCTTGCCCTCGCTCGTCGGCTCGAGCGTCTCCAGCGACGGGAACTGACGGCAGCTCCCGTCGACGCCACGCTGAGCCGGGCCATAATTAGCCGGTCGATCGCATGCTCCCGTCGATTGCGCTGCTCGTCCGACTAGTGTCCGAGATATCCTCCGCCCCGGCCGTGGATGAGCCATCTGACGGTCAACTACTCTTGACATCGGAGACGGAGCTTCCGTCGATTGTCGTCCTCTGTGACTGCTCCCGACGTACTGTGGCCTGTATTTGATGCTGCGGATGAACATCGAGAATCTTTCCCCTTTTGAGGCCTAGCCCTGCTTGAGATGTGGGGCCGCTCGCCACGTACGAGTTGCATCTGCCATGTGGCATGCTGCAGGCGTTTGTCAGCCTTCTGCCCTCTCGCGAAAAGTACTACATTCTGCTACAATCTGGGACATTCGAGCGAAGAGGTCGGGAAGAAATTTCTCATTCTGTTATAAGAGGAGTTTGACTTATGAACCCATCTATTTGGCAGTGCTTCGACAGTTTTCTGTCACAAAACTTGCGCAATTCTTTCACTTCCATGACACCTGAACTTCTAAGTTGGCAATTTTGTAAGCGACTTCTAGAAGGAAGGGAAGCGTAACACAGGAAGCACAAGAGCAATATGAATGAGATCTAGAAGATGAACAGCAACATACAGTTCATAATACCCATATACGGAGTAAAAGATCGATATACATAATTATGAAATGTGGAAAGAAGCAATGGCCAATCTTTCAAATTGAAGAGAAAAGTAATACTATTCCTGAATACCTTTACATCTTATGATAGTTGACGCATGCAAATGTTGACGTGGAAAGTCGATGTAATGCAAACAGACATTGTCCCTTCCCTTGACAATTTTCTTCTCCGATCCAAAGCTTGTTATGGAATGAAAAAAACACATGATTTGAGTGAATGCGTTCAAAAAATACCATAACAATTAACTGTTTCTAAAGAACCTAGATGAATGATAATACTCCATCAAGCAATGAAACCAAAGGAATTCAATATCATCACATGACAAATATATTTAAATCATTTAAATAAATCTCTTTACATTGAAAGAATTAAAACCATGATTGATATCCTATGAATCACATCAATAGGTATTTAATAAATATTCTCCTGGTTGATCATTAATTCATTTTTGCAAGCTAGATATATTGATACATTCAAGGTCAATTTTCATCAATATAACTTGATAGTAGATTAGAATTTTTGCTGTGATAATTACAATTTACCTTGTAGAAGTATTACAAAAGAATTTGTTCTAATTTTTATTTATTGATCTTAAATCTATATAAAAAATAAAGATAAACTATATTATTATTTTCAAATAATATCAATCTATGATCCTGATCATTTTGCTATAAAACTTCACCTTGGTCAAAATTGATAAAAATGAGTTGAGATTTTTATTTCATAACATTAAATATGAATTATAGGATTCACATTTATTTTCAATCTACTCAAATAAAAGATTTATAAAGTATCTCTTGAAAAATATATTTCTTTAATGTTTAAATGAATATCATGATGTTTAGACTTTTTTGTTAAAATATAAAATGTCATATTTATTATTTTGAATTAAGATATTATTTATTCTAAATAATATATTCATAAATTTCTTTTCTAAATAAATATTTTACACTTAAAATAAAGTGCTACTTAAATCAATTTATGATCAGTTTATTTGATTTTTGTTATTAGTGTTGAGGTCAACTCCGATGAAGGAGTAATCTTAGGAAATAGTTACTTATAGCTAGATTGGTCGTCGGTGGTGAGTTATATACCCTCATGCTTCTGCACTGTCAATCGTTGTGTTTCATTATGGTAGTAAATTCTTTTGTGTGTTTTCCCCGTGGACGTAGATCTTGTAAGGGTGAATCATGTTACGACTACGTGTATCCATTTTGGTCTATTTGCATTTGGGCTCATCATTGTCTTGCATATTTTAGACTCACAAATGTTATCAAACCAATGTTGCATTTTTTGTGACATTGTGTGTGGCAGGTCTGTGTCGTCAGAGTCGAAGACGAATGCCGCTAAAAGAGCTTTTTGATAGTGACAAATGTCTCTTGCCTACAGGTTTTGACGGCGACGCTCGAGGCAAGTTTGAGGTGTTTAGAGTCTTTTTGAAAAAAGTTTGAGTTCGAGGACAAGAAGTGTGGTTTGAGATATCCAACAAGCAAGTTTTCTGAAATAGATCGTCATTGATAAGATTTCTGCCGATTGTCAGTACTCTAGATGTCATAGAAGTTAATTTGAAAAGAAAGTAGAGGAAGTAGGCAAAGTTTGTTGTGCGGAATCATAGAAACTTCAAAATACTTCTGACAAAATCAAATTTTTTTTCAAAACGATTGGCGAGTTTAGCAGATGAAATTTGGGCAACTGCAGTCTTTTAAAACCTTGCTTATGTTCACATGCTCCAAAATTTTCTTACAAGAAGGTAGATGAGGCTGTAAACATAAATTGTGATTGTGAAGCTTTCAAATTTTTAGAAACTTTGAACTCTGGATTCTTAGAATCACTTATGTATCTCCAACATGTTAAATACATGATCAGTACTGAATAGATTCTCACGGTTTGTGTTCTTCCTTCTACCTGATTCTTTAGCCACTTATTATTCAAGTTCAGATTACAACCTTCACATTAGCAAGAAAATATCACCACAAGATAAAAATTCAGGTTCACGAAGAATGTTGCCTACGACTTGTAAGACCGGTTGGTGTATGCGTGAAATAGAACTAGAAATATCCAAGGAGTTAATCATGGTAAGCTTAGGTATAACTAAGTCTAGATAATTATGACTAAGTCTAGCTAGGTATAACTAAGTTTATCAAGTTATGATTATGTTTAGCTATAATGTCTATACTTGGCGGAATCATCAAGGGAGTTCTAGAAGATTTGTATGTACACCTCTATTTTCTTTCATACAAAAGTCTAGTTTTAGACTAAATCTAGTTTGATTTCATGTCTAGATTTTAATGTTTTGACTAAATAATGAAGATTTCATTATTGAGACTTAATCTAATGTTGATTCAGTGGCAATTGGAGGTTTTAGGAGTTGAAAAGGCACAAATGGCATGTTGTCAATTCAATCTAAGGATTAATATACATCTCGAAGGTTTTGGAGTCAAATGACATATTGACACATGTTGAAAACTAGTCAAACTTACTATGATTTATTGTTGTAAAAGTAAGATAGATAAGAATGATCAATTGTTACTTTGGTAAATTGTTGTGCGAATATGTATTGTCATACACTCTACATTGCTGACATGCTACTCACATCCCCACACACACACATAGGACAGGAGAGCGTACACACTCAAATGTATGCACATGATCCGATTGCTGTAGTGAACTATTTTCATCCATGAGCACGTTAATTTTTTACATGAGTTCGAACTTCTTATGATTAGTGCATAAGGTTTTTGCGCTTGTAGCAATCCACATCTCCCACGATTTGACAAATATCTTGACGTCTCTGATACACTCTTTGACAATACTATTTGTTATCTTCCTTTGAATTTCACCTTGACTTCTTGAACAATATAGTCAGCCTTCGATCGTCAATTATCCGTTTCATGATGATGTCCTGATTGAACTAATCTATTTTCCTCCTTTCTAGTTTGACAATACGTTACTAATACCCAAAGTGCATAGCCTTTGATTCGTGAATGTGTTTAATTCCTCCTCTAGCTTCTTAATCTCCTACTTCTAGTGTTCATCAATGACCTCAAAAATATCATAAGCCACTATCATAATCTTGATTTTCAGAGGTCCAATACATAACCAAGTCAAGACTGACCACGAGCAATTTGAACTCGACCAATTCACAATATGGGCCTTCTTTGTTTATTAGCATTGGCTATGCCACTACAACACAAGCCGACTAAAGCTCAACAGTAGAGGTATAGCCACTCATGTACGTTTCGAGGCCCACAAGTCTTCTTTAGTACTAGTCCCTTAATCTATGATCCTTCCTACTTCAGAATTCTTGATTCAAGGCTACAGTTTAGCCTCCAGTAGACCACAACAACTTGGAAAATTATGAATTTTCAGCCATGCGCGACGTCATATAAATAGCTGAGCTTGTATATGATTACTCATTTCGCAAAGAGAAACTCTTACTTTCATGTCTGTTAGCATGAACGGAGACTGAATTTTCACAAAAAGGCTAGAAGTCGACAACTAGAGAAACATCACATCACTACGGTATACAAAATTCAGGCTCGTTTTGTTCAAGAGAAAGTGGTGGCAACCTGCGAGGGACTCATAACTCAACTCTGGAAGTCATAACCTTTCAGACCTCAATGTCCAAACATCAATTTTGCCAATAGAAAAATCGACCATCGTTACCGTCTTCCTTTGACAAATACAACAGTCGTCGGGTTCAAAAGATCCATCAACAACCAATGACAATGAACACAACACCCCAAGAGCAATAAACACTCACAAACTAATCGTCAATTCCACCAACACACCACTCGCCCGCAACACCAACACCAACAATAGAGTGTGACTTTCTTATCAAACCTCACAACCCTAGAGTGGACAAACCTAGCAAAAATTCTTTGTTTCATGCATGCACACCTGCGGCGAACAACCACTTAACGGCCAAATTTGAAACATGGTTTCACGCATGTTTTCCTGGCAGTTGAAATGCGCGACTACAAACGTAGCACTAACATGATCAAGGACTCTATTCAACTGTCAAAGCTTCATGGATCTCCTCGCATCCAAAGAGCACAAACATAGAAACGATTGTTATATCCTCTATCTCCAAATCCTTGATACATCAACAAAGATTGATTCTTATATTCGCAATAGCGTGAGTTATTCAAGTGAAAAACTGTTGTGTTAACTCCACTAGCTCAATACACGAACGTCACATAAAAGTCGAGGCCTACCCACTCACTAGATATTCCA